ATACAAAATAACCAAACAGAACTTTTGGAGCTCAGCTGTACTGAGTATATCAATAGAGAGCTTTGACAATAGACGGAGCCAAGGAGAAGAAAGAATCAGTAGACTTGAAGACAGGGCATTTGAAACAATACAGTTACAGAAATAAAAAGAAAATGTTTATTTCTGTACACTGTTTGATTTCTCATCTAGGGTGTTATCCCCATAAATAACCACCACTTAGAATTCTGTGAACTATCACCATAGACTCCTGTGCTCTTTCCTCCCATTTTGACCCCTTTCCTACCCTTTCTCCTGATGGATGTCTCCAAGTTATAGTTTCACTGCTGGTTTTGTCTTCTTATCCCCATCACTTCTTTGTTCTTCCTATAAGTTAAACCACCTGATATTTTTCTTTTTCCTTCTGCCTGACTTCACTGAGCATAATCCCTTCAAGTTCTATCCATGTTGTTGTGAATGGCATAAGTTTATCTTTTTTCACTGCTGATAGTATTCTCTTATGTAGACTACATCTTTGTGCTCTAATTATTATTTTGAGCATTTAGGTTTTCTCATATTTTAGCTACTGTAGATAGTGCTATGATGAAGGTAGGAGTGCAGGTGTCCTTTTGAATAATGTGTTTGTGTCCTTTGGGTAGATTTCTAAGAGTGGAATCACTGGGTCATATGATAGATCCATTTTTAGTAATTTGACAATCTTCCATTCAGCTTTCCATAGTGGTTGGGCCAGTTTGCATTCCCATCCGCAATGTAAGAGTTTTTATTAGTTTTTTTGTTTTTTTTTTTTTAATGTGGGCCATTCTTAGTGGTGTGAAGTGGTATGTCATTGTGGTTTTGATTTGCTTTTCCCTGATTACACGTGATGTTGAACATTTTCTCATGTGCTCATTGGCCATCAGCATTTCCTCTTTGGAGAAGTGTCTTTTTAGCTCTCCTGCCCACATTTTCACTGGATTCTTTATCTTGTTTTTTGTTGAGTTGTTAAGTTCTTTATAGATCTTTGATATAAGCCCTTTATCAGTTTTGTGGAGAGCAGATATTTTCTCCCAATCTGTAAGGTGTCTCTTCATCTTTTTAATGTGTCTTAAAAATATAATTTTAAGAGCCACATGAGAAAAATTTTTTTCTTATCCAAAGGAAACTTCTTTCAAGTCCTACTCCCTCCCAAAGACTATCAGCAGATTTCTCGGCAGAAACTGTGTAGGTAGGCTAAGAAAATGTGAAATGATATAATTTAAAGTGCTTCAAACAAAAAACTGCTAAGAATACTTTACCAAGCATTTACTTCAGAAATGAAGGCAAGAAAAAATAAAGCTGAGTTTATCACCACTGATCTGCCTTACAAAAAATGATGAATTCAGTTGTTTAAGCTGAAGCAAAGGACAGTAATTAGTGACATGTAAATAAAAGATACATGCATAATGAAATTCAGAATAATCTAATACTGTAGTATGGTCATGTTTTAATCATTTAATTGTACTATAGAAGTTAAAGGGCAAAATAAATGTGGCTATAAGTGCAATAATTTCTTAGTGGATACACAACATAAGATGTTAATCGTGAACAACATAAGATGTTAATCGTGAGATCAGGATATGTGCAGAGATTAAAAGGATAGAATTTTTGTATTGGATTGAATTTAAATTGTTATCAGTATAAGATACTGTTGTATCTATAAAATGATTTAAGTAAAATTTAAGTTAAAAAATGGTAACAAGAAAAAGGAAAGGTAATTATTCATTACCAGTAAGTGACCATTTCATCAAGAGAATATAACAATTGAAATATATATCTATAAAGCCAACTATAGAACACCTAACAAATGTGAAGAGATTAATAGATAGCAATACAGTAATAGTTGGACCTTTTCTGAAAGATTTATTTTTATTTACTCATGCAAACAAGAGTAAGTGTAAGTCAGAGTTGTGGGGAGTGGGGAAAGGATTCACCAGAGACAGAGTGGGGAGAAGAACAAGCATACCTACACTGCTGTGGAGAGCAGTGGGTGAGACAAGAGAGGTCTGCTGTGCCATATGGGTCAGCACCCTGGAAGGAGATTGAACTCAGTCTTTCATGATAATACTGCACTACTAGGGAGGCTAATAGTTAGGCCTTAATGCTGCATTTAACAATGGAAATATCATCCAGATAGAAAATAAATGAGAAAACATTGAATTTGCAAATGAATCTAAGGCCTATACAGAATGTTTCTTTCAATATTGTACATGGAACAAGCTCCAGGATAGATCATATATTAGGTAAAATAGAAAAGTCCTAGAAAATAGAAATGATTGAAATCACATCAATTATGCTTTGTGACTATGATAGCATGAAACTGGAAATCAGTGACAGAAGAAAAATGGAAAAAAAATCACAAATGTGTGGATTTGTGATTCATATCCTACTCAGTTGTGAAAGGTTGATGATGTCCACTGTCACTATTCCTATTCAACAGAGTACTACAAATTCTAACCTTGAGCAATCAGACAAGAAAAAGAAATGAAGGTTATTAGAATTGGGGAGAAGTAAATCTTTCACTGTGTCCTGATGGCATGAATTTGTATATACAATAAACACATGTAAGGTCAATTTATATTTAACAAGGGAGCCAAGTATACCTGATGGAGAAAGGGTAGTCTTTTTAATAAATGATGTTGGGAAAGCTGGATCTTTACATGCAAAAGAATGCAATTAAATCCCTATTCAATACCACTGACAAAAATGAAATGGACTTATGCATGAAATATAGTGAAAAATTTGTTAACATTGATCTTGTCAACAATTTTTTGCACAAGTACAAGCAACGAAAGTAAAAACCAACAACAGTGACTTCATCAAACAGAAATTTTCTGTACAACATAAGAAGTAATCAGCAAAATGAAAGGCAACCAAGTATATAATGGATGTCATTTACATACAAAAACATAAAAAAATCATACAAATTAGTAACAAAATTAATAATCTGGTTAAAAAATGGATAGACATTTTGCCAAATACACACAAATGGCCAAGTACATGAAAAGATGCTCAATATCTCTAATCACTAGGAAAATGCATATCAAAACTATGAGATATCACTTCATTCTCTTAGAATGGTTATTGTAGAAAAGACAAGACATAACAGGTGTGTGCAGGATGTGGAGAAAGTGGAATCCTGTGCATTGTTGATGGGAATATAAATTAGTTCAGTCATTGTGGAAAACAGTAATGAAGTTCCTCAGAAATTGAATAGAACCATCGTATGATCCAGAAATCCTCCTGGTCCTATAACCGAAGAATTGAAATGAAATACACACTTCCCTGTTCACTGCAGTATTTTTCACTCCGTGTTCATATACCAGCAACTTAAATATTTATCTTTGAGTAACAAATTGATAAAGACATGGTACAGTGGGATATTATTCAAACCTTATAAACAAGGAAATCTTCACATTTGCAACATAGATGACACTGGAAGACATTATGCTAAATGAAATAAGCTAGATATAGAAAGACAAACACTGTCTGATCTCACTTATATGTGGACTCTAGTATAGTAATGTTCATAGAAACAGAGTGGAATGGTGATTGCCAGCTACCGGGAGAGGGGAAATGGGCAGTATGGTCAAAGGGTTACATAATTTTAGTTATGCAAGATAAGTAAGTTCTGAAGCTCTATGGCACAATAGGGCACCTACTCCTAACAATATTTTATCATGTATTTAAATTTTCCTCATCAATATTATATGAAATATTCTTACTAAAATGTTAATAAAGGGGGTGGGAGGAAACTTTGGGAAGTGATGTGTATGGTGGTGATGGTTTTGTGAATGTGTACTTATTCCCAAACTCACTGAGTTGTACTCTGTGAACAGCTTTTGATATGTCACTCACATTTCAATAAAATGGTTAAAAAAAAGCCCACAACCACCCTGAATGGTTCATTAGAGTGTGATCTAAAGAAAATCTATCTGCAGGGTGACACACTGGGGACCCCCAGTGTGAGACCATTGGTTTATGGATATTGGGCTAAGCAAATGTGTGGAAGCTAGACCTGGCTGTGACAGCAGGGTGGCCAAGGGAGGGACAGGGCCTTGTGCCTGCAGTGGGGAGGAGTAGCTGGGGGAGGTGATTCTGAATCAGGCAACAAAGAGAGGGTGGGAGTTCACCGGATGACTGAGGTGGGGGGCAGGAGCAGAGACTCAAGTTTGAGGGCTCAGGAGGTCTAGCTGTGAGCATTGTGTTGGTCCCAGCAACTGGTTTGTGGTGTGTGAGCTGAACACAGGCAAGGCAGCGAGTTGTTATCTGTTTGTCTGTCTGTGTCTGTTTTTTACCTTAATGTTCACTTTTGTACAGTGTACACTTTCTCCTCTGGGGTGTAGGCCCCATAAAATTCCCACCACCAGTTCTCAGGCAGAGCGTACAGGCGGCCTCAGCCCTGCTGGGTCGCGCGTCCAGTGAAGGTGTACAGCTTGAGACATGCATGGCTGGTCTTGGGAGGGGCAGCTGTTGAGTTAATGTGGAGTCGGGGCTGCTGACCAGTGTGGCCAAGGGACAGACGGTGGGGCAATGGGAGCAGTGGTAAGCGGCAGCGCTGCGTGCTTCACAGCCAGCAACCACTGTGGTGTGAACTTGTGTTTTCCGAGGAAAGCTGGAACTTCAGTTTTGCAACATGAAAATCTTGTTATTTTGAGTGTTGGGCTCAGTATATAAAAGTACTCTTTAGGTCAAACTGCACAAGCCTGTGCGAGATTTAGCCGCTGACTGTTAATTTTGACTTTTGTTTTGGAGTTGGGTTCCTGGCCCTGGCCCAGGCAGAAAGAGCCCTTCTCCAGTCTCAGTCCCAGCCTGTGCTCTGGCCTCAGTGGCTACAAGTGGAAGCTCTGAACAGGTGAGTCCCTTAGAGCCACTTGCCCCTTGTAGGCTCAGGGTTCAGGCCTGGCTCCTGGCTGGGGTGCTTCATGCTGTTGCCCATCCTCAGTTTGAGTGAGCTCCATTTCAACCATCTCATCTCTGCCCCACAGGCTGGCCTGATCCGTGTGGCAGAGGAAGAGTTCTTCATTGAGCCCCTGGAGAAGGGCCTGGCAGCAGAGGCTGAGCAGGGCCGTGTGCATGTCGTGTACCGCCGGCCGCCTACTCCCAAACCTCCCCCACTGGGGGGCCTGCAGACCCTGGACATAGGTAAGGCTGTTGCAGGTGGGTGGGCTGCATGGTATCCGGACATTCTTCAGCAGGCTGGTCCCAGGTTGAGGCTGAACCCCATCCTGGCTGACTACATGGCACAGGGGGATGTTGTGGTGCTGAGTTTGGGGGAGCTTTCTCTGCTCCTCTGGTCTCCATGCACATGGGCCACAGTCTGTAGGTCTGGGGCTTTCATCGTGGACAGTGCATGCAGTGAGAGGAATGACCTTCTGCAGCTCAGGGTTGGCAAGTGTTAGGGAACAGGGAAGCTCACACCAGGCCTGCACCCCTGAATGGAATCCCATGCCTGTGTTTGAGCCGGTGCCTTTGAAGAGAACATCTATTTGTACCCCAGCCCCATAGCCCTGTCCCCTAGTCTCTGTGTTGTCCATTCGCTGCAGAGGTGCCCACCCCTCCCTGCCTGCTCAGAGAAAGATCATTGCAACCCTGCCTCTTCTGGAAGACAGCCAGATACTGGAGGGGTGGGAAGTGCACCACAAAGACCTGGGGTTGTGCTCCAGCAGCCTGCGCACAGGCTCTGGGTCTGGGAGTATGGAAGGAACTGCTGGGTGGGCATGGTGACAGTCCCCAGCTGCAGCCTTTCAGAGTCCTCTGGGTGCAAGGGCCACCCCAAACCTCCCCAGCATCAGACTCTCATATGTTGGGGTGCAACAAGGTCTGATGGTAGGGGTCTCACTGTGGTCCTAGCAGGCCTCATTGTCCCCAGGACCCTAAAGTATGGGTGAGATCACATCCCTGCACTTGGCTTTTGCTGTTGGGTAGGCAGCCTTGAGGTTAGCCCTCAGACTCTACCTGGGCCCCTGGCTGTGGATAGCCACAGGAGGTCTGGGGAGACAAGCACAGAAGCCTGGATTTGGCTCATTTGCATATTTATTGTAAAGGCCCCACTGCATCAGCCCACCTAAGCTATGATTTATCAAGACACCTCAAGCAGGTCGGGCTCATTTATTTTAGGTCCCTCTGATTTCCAGGTTTGACAGATAAATTGGGTACAGTCTGGTGGAGTTCTAATTTCAAGAGGTGCTGTCGGATACCTTTACAAAGAAGTTATTCCATCAGAAAGTCCATCATTCTCTAGAGCCACTCAATCCTCTTGGTCGGCCCTTCATCCCAGGTGGTGAATTGTAATCCACTCAACAGCCAGACCACAGGCACTGCCCGCCCATCTTCCTCAGCCTCAGTTCCTTCTACCACTTCCCCACCCTCGGACTTCCCATGCAGGGGAGGAATGGAAAGCAACCCAATAGTATGAAGGTGGCAGTGAAAACGAGGTGGGAAATGAGGCTTGTCCTTGTTCCTCAGTAGGTAGGGTCCTGGGCAATTTTGGACCTTCGGCCTCTCCTTTCTTTTTGGCCAGTGGAGTTAGAAATGCCTGTGTGTTGTGTCTGCATGCTAAGAGGACCTTACTACTTTGTATTTTGGGCTTGATGCTTCTAGGCATCCACTGGAAGGTACGGGCTGATCCCAGGCCCCCGGTGGGCTGGTTGGGGTGGAGTGTGCTGCCAGGTCCCCTGACCTTGTCTCTGATCCCAGATTCCATGTGGTGCCTGTCTTCCTGAACATGGCAGCCTTCTCCTATGACTCATTTGGCCTTGCATTATTTTCCGGGTTTCTGCTGGTATTCTGGCATCTTCTGTGGAATCTTTCCTCCATCCTGTGATCCACCCATCTTTGGTGAGAGCTTGGAAATTTAACATAGGAAAGGAATTTCAAACTCAGGATAAATCTAGAAACCACGGGCTTTAGAAGATGCCGGGGAGGCCATCTGCACAGGTCAGGGTCTGGGGTTGCCCTGAATGGTGGGGGAGGGAAAGGGAGCCCATTGCAGGCTGTGTGCCCCAGGCTATAGGTCCAGACCACAGATTCAGGGTCTGGGGCCAAGTTCCCTTTCCTTGACATGCTTGCCCAGGGTCAACATGACCCTTTGTGAGAACATTTCTCCCTGAATGTGCTCAATCCAGGACTAAGGCTTGCTGGCGGCCTGGAGGGTATCCAGACACATTTTATGCCGGCTGAGGCCTGAGGTGACCTCAGACTGTTCAGCTTTCTATCAGCCTGGGCTTGGTCAGGGCCCCTGGTGTCAGCTGAAATATGTGAAGGCAGTGTCCTTGATTGGGCCTGCTTGCTTCATATGAGAAGACACAGCTCTGTGGGCACAGAACCTGGATCTCTGTTCAGAGGCTTTGGCAGGGGGGTGGGGGGGGCGTGCATGTGAGGGAGCTAGGAGACCCTTCTTCTGGTGAAGTCTGATGGGACTCCTGACATATCAGTGTGGTGCTGGTGGAAGCAGGTAGGAGGCACTGATTGGGGACTTCCTTCTGTGCTTCCAGCACAAGTTCTGGAAACAGATTGAGATGCCCTGATCATTTGCTATTGATGAGAAGTGGATATAATCGGTCCTCTGGGATTGGGGGAATCAACTTCTGGCATGTTTCCCTGTTTACCCTTAGCAGCTTACAGGCTTTCTGGGGTGATATGGGGGGAGGGGTTCGCACTAAGGCTCATAGCTTTGTTGTCATTCATTGCCTCTGCCATTCATATTGGGTGCTGGAGCAGAAATTGCCCAGGGAAACTGATGAAAAGTGAAGGTTTTACCATGTCCCTGCAGACTCAGCCAGGCACTGAGCTGCTCAGTGGGCAGCTTTGCACACAGTAGCATTCTCCTCAGCCCTGGGCTGTAGGGTGGATGAGATTTGATGGGGGAAGAAGGAGGACTTTTCCCCTCCTTATTGGCCTTGCAGGTGCTTCTCTGTTCATCTCCGATAGACTGGGGGCCTAGCTGAAGTAGGAGAGTAGAGGTCTGAGGCCAGGCTTGCCTTTTAGAGAGAGGCAATGGAGGGTTCTAAGAACTTCTTGAGTTGGATCTTTCTCAAGTTCTGGAGTGCTGTCCTCTGCCGTCCCTGGGGCCAGTCCCATGCCCAGGGCAATATGCTGGTGGGTGACACTGTGTGACATGGGCCTCTATTGTGCATGATGTATGTGTGCATATGTGTATGTGTGTACGTGTGTTTGCGCTTAGACACATACATGACCAGAGCATCACCTCAAGTTCCAGGCTTGTACGTGAGGCCTGCTTTGGCTGTCATTCATCAATCTAGTTTGGGGTCAGGACAAGGCCCCAACTGGAAGCCTGCGCAGAGTGTGCTCTGCATGATTTGGAACTGTCACTTCTCTCAGTCTCAGGCCTCCACAACACATTACAACCAGTTGAGTGGTGGAAAGCAGCAGCAGTTTTTTCTCCAAAGTTCTGGAGTTGGGAGTTTGACATGAATATCATCAGGCTGAAATAAGTGACAGCAGTCAGGGCCGCTCTCTTTCATGAGGTTCAAGGGCAGATCCCCTCCCTACTCCTCCCATGTTCTGGTGGCTGCTGGTACTCCTGCTTTGCGGCTCCCTTGTTCCCATCTCCACTCTGTGACATCACCTTCTTCACTTTTGTGTGTATGTTGGTCTCCCCTTTACCTCAGGGTTGCATTTAGGGCTCACCATGATGATCCAGGATCATTTCCACATCTCAAGATCCATAATCTAATGTGTGTGCAGAGTCATTGTTGCCACATTAAGTACCATTCACAGTCTTGCGGATTAGACCTGCTATCTTGGAGGGCTCCCGTTCAAGCCACATAAGAAGTGAATCAGTCTCCCCCTGGCTGGGCAGTGAGTGGTCGACATTTTGGAGAGGCGATGCTATAGGCACCCGTCATTCATTAGGGGACAGCGCTCAGCCACAGCCCAGGCAGGCTTCTCACCCTGTTGCTTCTGTGTGGCCTCTCGACATGTGGCAGGGGGAGTTCTTTCTTGTGCACACCCTAGTGCAGTTCAGGTGACTGTGAGGCCTAGGGAGGCTGGACAGAGCTGTGCCTGGGGTGACCCCAACACAGAGAAGTCAGCCTTGATGTTGGCGCCAGGGGCTTGCTGACAGGCTGCTTGGGAATCTGGGAAAGTACCCGAGGGTGGGAAAAAGTCCTGGGTCATGTGCTGGGGAGGGCCCCTAATGCCATTTGCAGAAAGTCCTGCTAGTTCATCAGAGGCTTGTGGAATCTGGCAGGCAATGCCAATGAAGATGGTGGTAGAGGAGAATTAAAACAACTATACCCACCCTTGGCCTGGCTTTCACTTTCCTGCTTTTGATATAAAAATTGCTAGAAGAAAAGCCAAAGGGCAAGTGCGTAGCATGTGCCATCATGCCCTGGCCACACATAGGACACCAAGGCAGCATCAAGACCTCATCAGGGAGCCGCTCCTGGGCACCCCGCTACACACCTGGTAGGAGGGTCGGCCTGTGATAGCCGAGCATGAGAACTTTTATGTGAGCTCTTCTCATTATGAAATATTTCAGATCCTTGTAAAAGCAGAACAGAAGAGACAAAACCCAGTCCCCTCTGGCTACCTGTGCTGTAGGAGATGCAGAATATCTGCTGCTTTCTCACTCTCTTGGGCTTCATGCAGCCCCTAGGGCTTGGAGCTGAGGTTCAAGGGCAAATACACTCCTTGCAAGGCCTTGGAGCTGAGAAAAGAGATAGGTGCTTCCCTTCTGCCTCGCCTAGCCTTGCACTGGGCCCTGACTGAAGGAAAAGAAACCAGCAGCTTAGTGCCTGTGACCTTGGCTCCCTCCTCCTGTGAAGCAGCCAGTGCCAAGCCTCTGCCTGCCGCTGTCAGGCTGCCGCATCCTCCCTGGCAGGCAGGGGAGGCATGCTGCCCTCGGGAGCTCTCTGCCTTGCTGCTGCCAAGGAAAGCCTGCTAGGAAAGAAAAGAAAGAGGCCTGGTGTCTCATGGCGCCTGTGCTGCCCTAGTGTGGCAGGCTTTGAAGTTGCTACCCAGTGACCCTTAGCCCTTCCTCCTCCTGACCTGCTGTATGTCTCCATTGCATGGCCTTGGACAAGGTAGGTGTTTTCTGGACTGCTAAGGATCCAGGGTGGGGGGCTCAGGAGTAAAGCTCCTGAAAGGTGTGTGGTGCCAAGACATGGTGGGTGGGAGCT